GTGGGGACTGAACTCTGGGCCTGGGCGCTGTCCCTCAGCTCTTCAGCTCAAGGCTAGCACTCTACCACTTGAGTGTCAGCCCCACTTCTGGCTTTTTCTGCTTATGTGGTGCTGAGGCATTGAACCCGGGGCCTCATGCATGCAAGTCAAGCACTCTACCACTGAGCCACCTTCCCAGTCCCCTGGTTTGACTTTTTATTAAAAAAAAAAAAATTGTCCTGGGGCTTGAACTCAGGGCCCAAGCATTTCTTTTATTCAAGACTAGTGCTCTACCACTTGAGCACAGCTCCACTTTGGCTTTTTGGTGATTAATTATAGTTGAGTCTCACAGACTTTCCTGGCCAGTCTGGCTTCAAACCACAACCCTCAGATCTTAGCCCTCTGAGTAGCTAGGATTATACATGTAAGCCACCAGTGCTCAGCTTTCTCAGCTCCTAGACCTTCAAAGCCTTCAAGACATACAGCTCAGCCTCTCAGCTACCTTTTGCTCATTAATTAAATCTTCCAAGTCAAAGGATTTAGCCTTTTCCATTTTCCCCAGCCAATTTTATTTGCCCTTGATGCTCTCTAGTTTTTTTTTTTTCTTTTTTGACAGTTGTGGGGCTTGAACTCAGGGCCTGGGCACTGTCCCTGAGATTCTTTTGCTCAAGGCTAGCACTCTACCACCTGAGCCCCAGCACCCTTCAGGTGCTTTCTGTGTATGTGGTACTGAGGAATCGAACCCAGGGCTTCATGCATGCTAGGCAAGCACTCTACCACTAACAGCCCCCAAATTAATTTTTTATGTATGTATTTATTTTTTGTTTATGTAGTACCTAGGAATAGAACCTAGGGCCTCATGCATGCTAGACATATATTCTAGCATCAAGCCCCATTCCTAGCCCTACTTTTCTTAAATTTTACTCAGCTTTTTATTTATTTTTTTATTTATTATCTTTAAGTGGTTTTACAAAGAAGTTCCCATTCTAGAAAACAGCATATGAATACAGTGTCTGATAACATTGTCACCCATGGCTCCTAACCCATCCCTTCTTTTTTTTTTCTGTTGTTGTTGAGATTAGGCGATTACATAAATTTCACAGTATTGTTGAATAGTGATACTTAAAGTCACAAACATTTTAACCTTCACAAGGCAAATTGTCATTATCATGGCCTATAAAGTTTGTGAATTCTATGAACTTTGACAATACAATTATTTCTTCCATATCAGGTGATGTTTACATTTCTTTCCTTTTGCTTAGTGTAAGTGGTTCCCTTTCCCTCTCATTCCTTCCTTCCCATTACTGTCTTTGGGTTGCTTAGTTTATTTTCATCTATGTCCAGGCAGCTGATGGGCCCCTCTGTTTTATGTTTTCCTGTTTCCTTCTGATTCTGTGTCTTCCTCCTAGCTTCCCTCCCTTGTGCATATATATATATATATATATATATATATATATATACACACACACACACACACCATTTATGTAATCAGTAACATGGAATCATTTAACAATGATAGGACAAAATGAGTGGCAGTCAATTGTTTCTCCAGTTCTGTTTACTTCGTCCTATCTCCTTGCATTTTGGTTTTAGCATCCACATATCAGGGAGACCATGTGCCGTTTGTCTCTTTGCTCTTGGCTTACCTCACTCAAAACGATTTGCTCTAGTTCCATCCATTTCCCTGCAAATGCCATTATTTTGTCCTTTTTAATGTCTGCATATTCCATTGTATATAGGTACCACAATTTTGTGATCCACTCATCAGTAATGGGGCATCTGGGTTGTTTCCATATCTTGGCGTTGGTGAACAGTGTTGCAATGAACATGGAGATGCATGTGTCCTTGTACCCTGGTTCCTTTGCTCAGGGTAGATGCCTAGGAGTGGTATGGCTAGGTCATAGGGAAGGTCTATATTTAACTTTCTGAGGTACCTCCAGACTGCTTTCCAAAGTTTTACCCAGCTTTTAGCATTTCTAGTGAGAGTGCCAAAGCATCCAGTCTACCATTCTCAGAACGTTCTCTACCATTCTCATGTATGGTTCATTCCTGTAACACTGTCACTTCACTGAATAGAAGATACTACCTCATAGCTATAAAGACTTCCTGAAGTTCACAATTTGTTTTGCCTTTCTCCCTGAGCCAGAGGGCAGTCTGATCAGTAGACCAGGATGGAGGAAATGACTGATATTTCCCCAATACTTTTTTTTTTGGTCAGTCGTGGGGCTTGAACTCTGGGCCCTGGGTGCTGTCCCTCAGCTCTTCAGCCCAAGGCAAGTGTTGTACCACTTGAGTTACAGCGCCACGTCCGGTTTTCTGGTGCTTTACTGGAGATAGGAGTCTCCCATCTTTCCTCCCCAGGCTGGCTTTGAACCGCAATCCTCAGATCTCAGCTTCCTGAGTAGCTAGGATTACAGGCATGAGCCACCAGCGCCTGGCTTTTTCCCTAATACTTTATACACTCCTTTCACTGATCTGACCTATGGCCTAGCCGTGGACAAAGGATGAATGCGGTCCTCCTACTTCTTAAACCCCTTGTGACCAGCTGACTATTGCTTTATTTTTGACACATAACAAAACTCAGCTTTAAATTCTAGATCCTTCCTTTATCATTTCCCTTTTTTTGGTGTGAGTTATGAGGCCCTTATAATCTTACTTGGTTTTTCATTCAAGACAACTCTACCACTTGAGCCATCCCTCTACTTCCAGCTTTTTGCTGGTTATTCACAAGTCTCTTGCAAATGTCTGCTCAAGCTGGCTTTAAACTATGATTAACCTCAAGTAGGACTACAGACATGAGCCACTAGCATCTTGCTTAGATCTCAGTTAATCTATAAAATCAAGATGTTATCTTCAGCTACCTCCTCCCCTGCAAAAAAATAACCACATACTCTCACAACAAAGACCACGCCATTTATTTACAAAGGCCAGTGTGGGAGTTGGAGAAGGGAGGGAGGGAAAGGCAGACATCTTCTCTGGACTGTTTGAAACCTATTCCCACTTATGAGTGTATTCTGCACCTCCTGCCTCTGTATTCTCAACCAGGGGGTCCTCCAAGCAGCTGGGCCATACTGGAGGGAGGTGACAGAGCCCCCTCCTGTGTTCCAGCAGGACAACATCCCATTCCAGATTAAAGGCACCACTGCTATCCTCCCCTCTCCTTCCTCAAATACAACTTTTCAGCCTAGAAGGAAACTGAAAACAAAGTTCCACGGCTGGCTCCAGAGGAGAAACTTCCCTATATTTCTCTAAAGAAGTGATGGTGTAAGGGTTCCAGTCATAGCTGCAATACCTTCAAAAAGGGCTATCCATCTTGCCTTGCAGTTACTCAGAAATAATAGGTTCTAGGCTCACAGAAAAAATGCACGTGCAGCCTATATTAGGTGCCTAGCTTCATCATTGGGCCTCATTGTGTTGGTTCATCTTGAATTCAGGGTTGGGTACTGTCCCTGAGCTTTCGTGCTCAAAGACTGAGTTCTACCACTTGAGCCACAGCTCCATTTCTGGCTTTTTAGTGGTTAATTAGAGATAAAGTCTCACAGACTTTCCTGCCCAGGCTGGCTTTGAACTGCTATCCTCAGATCTCAGCCTCCTGAATAGCTAGAATTATAGGTGTGAGCTAATGGTATCTGACACACCCCTTTCTTCAACTAGAATTCCATCATTCTCTCTAGTTTCCTCTGTCAAGCCTGGGCTCCAAAGATCTATTAGTGCTTCCACACACACACACACACATACACACATCTCAGCTTCCATGATGTGTTCAGGCAGGCTTCCTGATTCCTTCTCCAAATCTCTCATTTTTTTTTTTAAATTGTAGGTGTGAGACCGGAACTTGAACTCAGTCCCTGACACTTTGGCTTATTAGGTGGCGCTCTACCAACTGAGCAAGGCCTCCAATCCCTCAATCCCTTCTCTTCTGCACCAGTCTCCATTGTATTGATCTGATCTGTCTTGTTTTTGTTGGTTGTGCCACTTGAACTCTAGGCCTGAGCTCCGTCCCTCAACTCTTCAGCTCAAGGCTAGCACTCTACCACTTGAGCCACAGCACCACTTCTGGTTTTCTGGTGTTTTATTGGAGGTAAGAGTTTCATGGCCTTTCTGCCCCGGCTGGCTTTGAACCGTGATCCTCAGATCTCAGCCTCCTGAGTAGCTAGGATTATAGACATGAGCCACAGGCGCCGGGCTTTGATTTGGTCTTGTTGATTCCTATCCAGAGTGCTGTGTCTCATCTCTTGCTTTGGACATGAACAGACATCTTTCTCCTTGCCTTTGAAGTCCCAAAGGAGCCCTTGAAAGAACAAGCCCATGAATGAAATGACCAGAATAGGGGTTGTAGAAGAAAATCACAGCCTGTTTCACCTGCCCCTTACCTTCAGAGTATAAAATTCTAGCACTGGCAGGGCTTGGGACTGAGGAGGGGGAAGAACAAGGAAGACAGTTACCAGAAATAAATGTAAGGCAAGATGAACCCTAGCAGTATTGATGGAAGACTTTTCCAGTAAACCAAACAGCTGGGTCCTCTTTTGACTGAGATATTTGCAGATTGTAAAAGATGGTTGTGTGTGTGTGTTGGGGGGGGGGGAGCGGGGCAATCAACAGAACTGTGAAAATAGTTTAAATAGTTCTGCTCAAGAAGCATCAATAGAGAAGGTTCTGTGAGATAGCAGTAAAACCTAAATTCTTATAACTATGGGATTAAGGCCCATTCCTTTAAAGTCACCCAGTTGTTGGCAGAGAACAAGACAGAGGGACAAGCTGCAGAGGGGAAGGGGCTGACTGAGGAACCAAGGCTGGCCTTGAGTAGTGGGAGAGGCAGGAGGCATGGGCCTAGACATCAGGAGAGCTGGGAGCCCAGGAGTCTCTCAATAGCTGCATTGATGTCCCCTCCTGTGGCAATCAGGGCCTGCAGGTTGGCCTCACGATTGATGAAACCCATGGAGTTGAGCTGCTCCAGTTGCTGCTGAAATCTCACTTCTGGTGTCTGCACCTGGAGGAGACAGGCATTGTGAGGAGGGCATGGGACCCACTCAGAGGGACATTGGTTTTGTTTTTGGAGCCTCAACCTATCAGTCCCTCTGCTTCAGCCTCCAGAATGTTGGGATTATAGGCGTGTTCCAACACACCTGACTCCCAGGGAGACTCTGTGAAACTGAGGCTTTATAAAAGACTAGTAAGACCGGGTGCCAGTGGCTCATGCCTGTAATCCTAGCTACTCAGAAGGCTGAGATCTGAGGATCACTGTTCAAAGCCAGCCGGGGCAGGAAAGTTCGTGAAACTCTTACCTCCAATAAACCACCAGAAAACTGGAAGTGGCAATATAGCTCAAGTGGTAGAGCACCAGCCTTGAGTTGAAGAGCTGAGGGACAGCGCTCAGGCCCAGAGTTCAAGCCCCACAACTGACCAAAAAAAACCCAATAACCAAAAAAAAAAACAAAAGAAACAAAAAAACTAGTAGGTCTTTAATGTCCTCTGTATCAATCAGTGGGGCAGGAAAAAGTGCAAAACAAATGGACAGGGATCCCAAGTTCCAAGGTCATTATACCTTTAATCAGGTGATCTTTAAAATGTCAAAGTTGAGCTGGGAATGTGGCTTAGTGGTAGGGTGCTTGCCTAGCATGCATGAAGCCCTGGGTTCAATTCCTCAGTACGACAAACAGAAAAAAAAAAGCCAGAAGTGGTACTGTGGCTGAAGTGGTAGAGTGCTAGCCTTGAGCAAAAAGTGCCCAGGCCCTGAGTTTAAGCCCCAGGACTGGCAAAAAAAAAAAAGTCAAAGTCAAAGTTTCTGATAGGTACAGTGAAGCTTCTGTTCCTCATTACCTCCCATAAATACTCGGGAGATGTTAACAGGTGCTTCACAGCCAGCTGATCTGTGATCAAATAAGATGAATGCTAACCATGCCCCTCCTGACAGTTATCACACACAGCTCTTGTCAAGGCCTGAAAAGGGTCCCAGGAGAGAAATCACCTGTTCAATTTTGTTTGACTGATCAACACACACAATTTACAAAAAGAAGGCTTTTCATTCTCCACACTCCTATAAACATCTCCTGGAAACATTTTCCTAAGGGATGCTAGAGGAGCACTAGTCTCAATCATGAACAAAACTCAGAAGAAGGTTGGCAATCACTATCTGCCTGGCTGTTGAGAAGAAAGTGTACTCCGAAAGTATATTCCAGAGAAAGAAAGGACTTGCCACCTAGGGTCAAAGAGCAAATCGGTCACCCAGACCCCGGGACCCACTGTATCAGGGGCACCTTCCAGTGTTCCATGTTGCTTATCACATCCACAGTAGAGCTTGGAGGTCATCAGACCAGCTTAGTGCTCTACACAGAGCCAGGAACAGTGTGTGTGTGTGTGTGTGTGTGTTGGTAGTGGGTCTCTCCGGGAACAGTGTGTGTGTGTGTGTGTGTGTGTGTGTGTGTGTAAGCCCTGGCCTTTACTTTGTTAACCAAAACTCTAGTCATTTCACCTTCCAGAATCCTTTCCAGTCTTAGATATGGAATGTGCTTTATCAAAAGAATCCTTGCAGGGGTTGGGGAGGGAGTTCCATAGTAAGGCATATGTTTAGTATATGTGAAGACCTGGGTTCAATCTCCAGCACTAAAAACAAAGGATCCTTTGCTAGAAATAGAATGATATAATACAGGATTTAAAGTGTAAATTCTTTCTTTTTTTTGTTGGTCATGGAGAATGAACTCTGGGCATTGGTGCTGTCCCTCAGCTCTTCAGCTCAAGGTGAGCACTCTATCACTTGAGTCACAGTGCCACTTCTAGTTTTCTTGTGGTTAATTGGAAATAAGAGTCATAGGGACTTTCCTGCCTGTGCTGACTTTGAACTGCAATCTTCAGATCTCAGCCTCCTGAGTAGCTAGGATTATAGGTGTGAGCCACCAGCGCCCAGCTTTTTTTTTTTTTGGTCGGTCGTGGGGCTTGAACTCTGGGCCTGGGCGCTGTCCTTCAGCTCTTCAGCTCAAGGCTAGCGCTCTACCACTTGAGCTACAGCGCCACTTCCGGTTTTCTGGTGGTTTATTGGAGATAGGAGTCTCACGGTCTCTCCTGCCCGGGCTGGCTTTGAACAGTGATCCTCAGATCTCAGCCTCCTGAGTAGCTAGGATTACAGGCGTGAGCCACCAGCGCCCAGCTAACGCCCAGCTTTAAAGTATAAATTCTGAAGACTGAATGCTTGGGTTTGAATTTTAGCTTTACCACCTCTCTAGGCCTTGATTTTCTTCATCTGTAATGCAGAGGTAATAATAATAGCTTTCTCTTAAGACTGTCCTAGGAAATAAGGGAAATGAGCACTCCTATATAAAGCATTCACAACAGTACTGTTACATGGTAAGTACTATTATGTTCTCATCTCCACTTTACAAGCATAGAAATTGAACTCAGGAATGATTGGCAACCTGCCTAAGGCTAGTGAGTGGCAGATCAAGACTTCAAAGTGTTTGGCTGCCTGCAAAGCCTATCTTGGTGTATCTTCCCTCTACTGCTACCTTTGACACTGTCCAAGATGGAAAGGGCAGTCCTGGTCGCAGTCCCCACTGTCCCATGTACCTGTGAGTTTCCACCTCCAGCTAACAACTGGATCATCTGCTGCATGAGGTGCTGCTGGGCATTGGAAGCCCCAGTGGGAGGAGATGTGGCTGGTGTGGCTGGTGAGGAGGAGGGAGCCTCAGCTGTAGATCCTGAGTTGCTGCCTGAGGGGGCTGTGGTCCGGGACATCCCAAAGGAGCCAAGACTGTAGGCAGGAGAGATCAAGAGGTGAGAGACAGCATTCAAGAAAGGGAAAAGCCAGGCACCCATGGCTCAGTTCTGTAATCCTAGTTACTCATGAGGCTGAGATCTGAGGATTGTGCTTCGAAGCCAGCCCAGGCAGGAAAGTCCATGAGACTCTTGTTTTTGTGCCCATTCTGGGGCTTGAACTCAGGGTCTAGGAAAGTCTGTGAGCTCTTGCCTTCACTTAACCACCAGAAAACTAGAATTGGTGCTGTGGCTCAACATGGTAGAGCAGGAAGTGGTGCTGTAGCTCTAGTAGTAGAGTGCTCACCTTGAGCTGAAGAGCTCAGGGGCAGCACCCAGACCCAGAATTCAAGCCCCATGACCGACAACACCAACAATACCAATACTATCACCACCACTGACAACAAAACCTGTTATTCTATTAGGGCTGGGAAGGTGGCTCAGTGATAGAGTGCTTGCCTTGCATGCATGAGGCCCTGGATTTGATTCCTCAGCACCACATAAGCAGAAAAAACTGGAAGTGGCACTGTGGATCAAGTGGTAGAGCGCTACCCTTGAGTTGAAGTGCTCAGGGACAGTGCCCAGGGCCCCACAACTGACCAAAAAAAATAAAAGTGGTAGAGGACCAGCCTTTAATAAAAAAAGCTCAGAGACAGAGCCCAAATCCTAAGTTCAAGCCCTACAACTGCCCCCCCCCAAAAAAAATAAAAGAATGGAGTCTGGTGCAGTGCTTGTAATCTCAACAGTTAAGAGGCTGAGGGAGGATTTTGAGTTATGAGGACGGGGTGGGGGGGGGAGGAAGAGAAAGAAAGAGAAAGAGGATGGAGGGAGAGGAAGAGGGAGGGGAGAGAATGAATATCCAGAAGGAAAAACAGGAAGACAGGAAAGGAGATCTTCAGGAATATGGGGGCTGCTCAGTGGCCAAGAGATAAAGGGGATAAAGGAGAGGAGCAGCCAGCCAGCCAGGACCTTGTTGCCCATTCCCTCCTCACCTGGGTACCAATCCAGGAGCCTCAGTCTGCAAGGTCTGTAGTCCCTGCTGGATCTGCAGTAAAGCCTGCATGGCCCGGGGATTAGTGAGGATAGAGAGGGACTCCGGATTCTGCATCTGATGAGAGAAGAGAAAGGGAAGGGGCAGAAAGGAGGAGGCATCCTAAAGCCAGAATCCCTATGTCCACTTCTAATCAAATGAGTCCACCTCTTGCCCTTCCTCTGCAGCCCTTGAGGCTCCCAACTTACCTGTTGTAGAAATACAGGGAGTTGTAGGCGGAGCTGCTCCTGCAGCTGGGGGTTCCCAGCAAAGAGCGGCACATTCACCATCATCTGCCAAAGGGAAGTTAGGAGAGGGAGGTCTAGGTCTTCCCACCCTAAGAAACACCCCCAGCTGGGTACTGGTGGCTGAGATATAAGGGTTGTGGTTCAAAGCCAGCCTGGATAGAAACTCCCTGTAATACTCATTTCCAACTGGAAGCTATGGCTCAAAGAGGTAGAGCCCTAGCTTTGACCAAAAGAGCTCAGGGATAGTGCCTAGATCCTGAGTTCGAACCACACAACTGACAAAACAAAAAAACCCACCCCCATCAGCCTCCCTTGATATCTGTCCTACTGTAAGATATCTGGCCAGCATAACTATACTCGGAGCAGTGAAGAGCATCAGGAATCATACTACTCTATTAGGGGGAACCTCTTCCCAGCAATATTCCCCTTATGAAAGTTTGATACCTGAGCAGCAAAATCAGGGTTCTGGGCAAGTGTCTGCATCATGCTCCGCATGTAGGGGGCTGAGATCACATTCTGCATCAGCTGGGGGTTCTCAGAGATCTGTTGGAGAAGTGCCTGCATTTCTGGGCTGTTGAACATTCCTAGGACAAGGAAGAAAAAAGACAGGAGAGAAGGGGTCCAAATGGAAACCAGATGCCTCACTTCAATCATCCTCACTCCAGACACTGAGTGGTTAGAAAACTCAGAAGGCACCCAAAGTTCTGAGCCTGAGTCTAAGTCTCTTCTGACTCCAAAGTCAGCTCACCATCTACTTTGCTAAGGATAAGTTAGAAACTGGGTCCAATTTATGCCCGTCTGGCCTGTTGCTGCCACAAGGTCAGATAATATCTGAGTTGGAAAGGACTGATTAAACATACCCAGGCCAATGATTTTCAAACCTGTGCAGCTGCAGACACTCCTTCTTCAAGTCAAATCTTACTCCAAAACCAAGTATATCAATAGATAGTCTGGTTGGAGCTGGGGCAGGAGGCAGAGAGCCTCTTCTATAGCATCCCTCCTCATCCTAGAGATGGTTCCAAACCCCCAGGACTCAGGAATATAATTAGAAAGCCTTGAATCAAGTGCTAGTCCATATTTTGTAAGTAAGGAAGCTGAAGCACATAGAGGGGAAAGGACTTTCCCAATCAAGGTATCTCCATGGTGCAGTGAAATCACGACAGCTACAAAAGACATTCCCAGAGTCATGTGTATAGTCAGAGTCCAGATAAAGCATTCCCTAGGGTTGTGCAGTGAATAACTTGCACTTCTATACATGGCAGCCCTGTACATCCTTCTCACCCTGCTTCACATCTGCCTGTCCCTGGATCTGCCCTGCTTCTTCCACAACAAACCCTCCACCTCCCAATCTAACCCATTTATACTGGATGATACCAAAGACACTCATGAACTTGCCTGGTTTGTTCATGAGCTATTACTCAGGTCACTCTCGGGGAAAGCAGGACATGGTGAAAACAAACCTTCCACCTCTGAAGGGTGGGAACACTACCTGAGGCTGCTGAGCCTCTGTCCATAGCTTTAATAATCTCATATCTATCTTCAATGTCCTGAAGCAGTGTAAGCTCTATTCAGCAGTATGGCAGAGGAACTACCCTGGTGACCCTACTAAGCTCCTTCCACCCTAAGACATACCTGACCCCAGGCTAGCCGCATTGATCCCAAAGGGGTTCGAGACTGTCGGGTGCACCTGGCTCGTCCCCGATCCTCCGGTGCCCTCCCCACCGGACCCGGGGGCCTGGGAGGTGGGGGGCGAGGGGCTCCAGGGGTTAGGGAGGGGCTCTCGATTCTCAGTCCGAAGAGGCTGGGAGGATGAGCTGTCGGAGTTCCCGGCCAGGGAAGAGAAAGGATTGTTGCCAAACTGGGAGGAGGGAAAGGTTTTGGGTTAAGGACTGAAACAAATCAGGGATAAGAGCTAGGCCCTTTCTCTCCTCTTACCTAAGAGCCGCCCCTTCCCCAGAAAAGGGAGAGAAATCTGAAATTCTGGAATCAATTCTTTTTCCACAAAGGAAGGCTCCACCCTCGGCCCTCACAGTACAGACCCAAGTGAGAGTGCTAACTTCATCACATGAACCTGAAAATCTCCTCCCTCTGGTCCCTAGAAACTAGGACAGAGCCTTGCCCAAGTGATGTATTTGCTAAGGGAGTCCTGGACCCTATTTTACTTGCTCAGCCTTTCTCAGAGGCCTAAGCTGAGGAGCATCCCTTCTTGAGTTCCCAGGTAATCCTGAAGCAGGCAAGTAGGAGATATCTAAGCAGCTTTGGCCCCTCCCCATGTGGGTTTTTCACCTCTAGCCACTTTCCTGTTCAAAGTGGGCCACAAAACAAGGCTGATCAACCACTTGCCCACTCTGAGTTTAGTTCCTTCCATCTCAGTAGATGTCCATTCAGATAACAGGATTCTTAAGCCAGGGTGTGTGTACCAGTTTTAGTCTTAGTCTCTGCTTTAGATTTCCTGCTCTGACAGCATGTCCAGCATGGTCACCCCCATCTAGCTTTCAGCTCTGCTTTTTCTTACAGGTATATCCTAAGGGTTAAATCTCTTCCTGAACTATCCAGAATGAGAGCAGCCATTATTCATTGAGTGCCATTGTGCCTAACACATTTATTTTAAGATTTAGAATATTCCTTTAGTACACTAGTTCTCAAAGTGTGGTCTTAGGATCCCTGCAAAATTTAAAATGTTTTTCATAATTCTAAGATGTTAATTTGCTTTTTTCACTCTTATTCTCTTATGAGGCTATAATGGAGTTACCCAAAGGCTACATAACATATGACTACAGCTTGAACTCAGAACCTGGGTGCTGTCCCTTAGCTTTTTGGCTTAAACTGGTACTCTACCATGTGAACCACATAACCAGCACCTAGCCTAAATAAAGTATTAAAAAAAAAACAACTCTCAATCTGGATGCCAGTGGCTCATACCTTAATCCTAGCTACTCAGGAAGCTCCCAGTTCAAAGCCAGCCTAGGCAGGAAGACTCTACAGAAAAAACGGGAAGTCTGGCTGTGGCTCAAGTTGGAGAGGGGGCCTTGAGCAAAAAGTAGCTCAGGGACAGTACCTAGAACCAGAGTTCAAGCTTCAGGACTGGCAAAAAAAAATCTCAGCTTTAATTTTTTTTTTTTTTTTTTTGGGTCCGGTCGTGGGGCCTGAACTCTGGGCCTGGGCGCTGTCCCTCAGCTCTTCAGCTCAAGGCTAGTGCTCTACCACTTGAGCCACAGCACCACTTCTGGCTTTTTCTGCTTATGTGGTACTGAGGAATTGAACCTAGAGCCTCATGCATGCAAGGCGAGCATTCTACCACTGAGCCACCTTCCCAGCCCCATCCTTATAACTATTCAGGAGGCTGAGATCTAAGGATCTTAGTTTAAAGCCAGCCTGGGCAGATAAAACTGGGAAACCTATTTAAGGTGGAAATGGAAGTGTGGCTCAAGTGGTAGAGCACCAACTGTGAGCTAAAAGGCTGAAAAAGAGCACAGGCCTGAGTTCAAGACCAAGTAGTGGCAGGCAGGCAGGCAGGCACGGGGGCGCACACGTGCACACACACACACACACACACACATTTTCATGGTTGATTTCTACTAACAACTTCTAAAAAAGCAATGCCTAGTCCAGTGTATTGGTATGCAAATGTAATTTCAGCATTCAGGAGGTTAAAGAGTATGAGAAAGTGAGCGCCAGTGGCTCATGCCTATCTTCCTAGCTACTTAGCATGCTGAGACCTGAGGATTGTGGTTTGAAGCCAGAACAGCAGAAAAGTTTATGAGACTCTTTTTTTTTTTTTAAATCAGCGGTGGGGCTTGAACTCTAGGCCTGAGCATTGTCCCTCAGCTCTTCAGCTCAAGGCTATCACTTGAGCCACAGCGCCATTTCTGGTTTTCTGGTGGCTTATTGGAGATAAGAGTCTCATGGACTTTCCTGCCTAGGCTGGCTATGAACCTCGATCCTCAGTTCTATGAGACTCTTATCTTCAATAAATCACAGAAAAATCTGGAAGTAGCTAGGAACCTATGACTCACACCTGAAATATTAACTACTCAGGAGGCTGAGATCTGAGGATCATGGTTCAAAGCTAAGCCTTGTCAGGAAAATTTGTAAGACTCTTATCTCCAATTAACAACCAGAAAACTGGAAGTGGAGCTGTGGCTCAAAGTGGTAGTGTGCTAGGCTAGCCTGACAAAAGCGCTCAGGACAGTGTCTAAATCCTGGGTTCAAGCCTTAGGTCTGGGGGGGTGGGAGGAAGCAGTGTTAAGAATAACCAAGATTTTTTTTTTTGGTCATTGGGCTTGAACTCGGGGACTGGGCGCTGTCCCTCAGCTCTTCAGCTCAAGGCTAGCACTCTACCACTTGAGCCACAGTGCCACTTCCGGTTTTCTGGTGGTTTATTAGAGGTAAGAGTCTAACGGACTTTCTTGCCTGGGCTGGCTTTGATGGGGATCCTCAGATCTCAGCCTCCTGAGCAGTTAGGATTACAGGTGTGAGCCACCAGCGCCTGGCCCAGGATGTTTTTGTTTTTGAAGAATGGGTTGGTATTGTCTGTAATCCTAGATGAAAACTGGGAGTCATGATTCCAGGCCAACCTAGACATAAAAGTTCTCAAGACTTCATTTCAATGACTGGGCATAGTGGTACATACTTGGTATCCTCAGTGATACGGGGAAACACAAGTAGGAAGACCACAGCCCAGGTCTGCCTAGGCAAAAGATGAGATTCTACTTCAAAAATAATGCAAAAAAGAGCTGGAGGTGCCAGGCGTTGGTGGCTCATGTCTGTAATCCTAGCTACTCAAGAGGCTGAGCTCTGAGGATCGGGTGCAAAGCCAGCCCAGGAAAGATAGGCTGTGAGACTCTTATCTCCAATAAACCACCAGAAAACCAAAGTGGCACTGTAGCTCAAGTGGTAGAGCTGAGGGACAGCTTCCAGGCTCAGAGTCAAGCCCCACAACTGACAAAAAAAAAAGAGGCTCAGTTCAAATGGTATAGCAGCTGCCTTGCAAGTACAAAGGCCCCGAGTTCATTCCCATTACCACCTCAATAAAAAGAATGGAGCTGAGCTTGGTGGCTCATGCCTGTAATCCTAGCTACTCTGGAGGTTGAGATTTGAGAATCTCAGATCAAAGCCAGCCTGGCAGGAAAGTCCATGAGACTCTTATCTCCAATAAACCACTCAGAAAACCAGAAGTGGCACTGTGCTAGCCTTGAGCTGAAGAGCTGAGGGACAGCACCCAGGCCCAGAATTCAAGCTTTTTGACTGACAAAAAAAAAGGAATGGAGTGGAGAATTCATTATTCTACAGATACCAAGACTACTTAAGACAATGTGGATTCACTGTAGGGACAAATCGACAAAGCAGGAAAATAGATAAATGAGTAAATGACACTCATCTGGGAAATTTAGTATCAGACAAGACAAGAATGATCTATTTGTTAGGAAAGCATGCACCACTCTGGATATAGTGTTTTCCTTATCTACTAAAGTTGAGTAAAGGAGATCCTGCCCTCACTTCACACCCAGTGGGTTGTGAAAATTCCTTAAGCTGTACAAAGTCTATAGTCACATTAGTCTTCAATAAAACATTTCAAGAAGAGCAAGTTGAAGTGATAGAATCAGCACGATACCACTTCTATAATGTTTAAAAATATGCAAAACAATACTACAGATGTTTGTGGACATACACAAAGGTAATAAAACAATCAGGATGAAAAACACTAACTTCAGGATAGCAGTTAACTCTGGCAAGGGAATGAGGAATAGGACTAAGGAGGGAGATGTGAAGGCTACTACATTACCTATAATGACTTAACTTGCACATATATATGACTAGGAAAATATACAAGGCATAACATTAGTAACCAAGGAGAGTGTGTGTAATGGGATATAGCTTAGCGATATGAACATCTCTCTACTACAAGGCTCTAGGCTTGATCCCCAGCACCACACACACACACACACACACACACACACACACACACACACACACAGGGGAGGTGGCTCAGTGGTAGAGTGCTTGCATGCATGAGGCCCTGGGTTCGATTCCTCAGCACCACATAAACAGAAAAAGCCGGAAGTGGTGCTGTGGCTCAGGTGGTAGAGCACTAGCGTTGAGCTGAAGAGCTGAGGGACAGCACCCAGGCCAAGAGTTCAGGCCCCAGAACTGACCAAAAAAAGAAAGAAAGAAAGAAAAAAAAGAAGGTAGAATAGAGATGTCTGAAAGATGGTAACTAAAAGATCCCTTTTGTATATATTTTCAGCTTAGATAATGTTCTATACTTTTTTAATTAGCTTCTGAAATTTGAAACATATAGATATATGTGTTTAATAGAAAACTAAATTTTGAGTAAGAACCAAAAAAGGCAATGAAATTATATAGGCCAACATGTTTAGGGCAACATGGGTAAAGGAGGATGCCCTTGAATTCAGGGCCTTAAGCTTGTTTGCCTTTTTTTCTCAAGGAACTCTACTACTTAAGCCACATCTCTAGTGCTAGTTTTTTGTTGGTTTAGTGAGGAGCAGAGTCTCAAAGGCTCTTCTATCTGGACAGGCTTCAAACCATCTGAGATCCTCAGATCTCCACCTCCTGAGTAGCTGGAAATACAGGAATGAGCCACCAGTGTCCAGTTTACATTTTTATCTATATTTTTTGCTTTTAAACTACTAATCAATACGTTTTGTATTTTGGAATAAATTCATTATTCATAAATTCATTATTCATTTTTTCTTTATGCGGAAGGGGGGAGGGTGTCAGTCATGGGGCTTGAACTCGGCCTGGGTGCTATCCCTGAGTTTTTCTACTCAAGGTTAACCCTCTACCACTTTGAGCCACAGCTCCACTTTTGGTTTTCTGGTGTTTAAGTGGAGAGGACAGTCTCATAGACTTTCCTGTCCAGGCTGGCTTCCAATTATGATCCTCACTAAGATCTCAGCCTCCTAATTAGCTAAGCTTACAGGGCATGGGCCACCAGTGCCCAGCTCATTAAGCATTTTTAAAAGTACATAATACTAGGCTATGACCTCAGAGATTTAATTTAAAATGCAGGTCAAATATGAAGTAAGAAATATCATTAACAAGATTTGTAGGTGATTCTGATGTGTGCAAGCCATGGACCACACTTGTGGCACACTGTACTAGGGCTACCTCTACAACCTTTGAGCCAGTGATACAAAAATGGATACTATGCCTCGTTTACTTTTCTAGGTACCTCTGCCATAATCTGCTGGCATGTCTCAGTCCACTCAAGTTGGACCATACCTGGATCTGCATTGTTGGGAATGCTTTCAAGCTAAGGCTCAGTCTTCTAGGAGACAACACCCGGGGCTTGCCTTGGCTGAGGGCAGGGAATAATGAGACCAGACCATTCCCCCACTGTCCCCACCTGCTCCCGGGCAGCAGTGAACATGGGCTCCTGGATGTCCGTGTACATTCGGCGGAGGGCATTATATCCGCCGGGGATGCTTTCCAGGTTGCTCAGGGCCCGGTCTTGATTTCGCATCATTTCTTGCATCATTGCTGGATTCCGAGCAAGTTCCATTGTCTGGTGAAGGAAGAGAGACGGGATGGACCCTGAAACCAGGAGACCAAGATAGAAAAAGGACAGGCCCTGAGGAGAGGGTCTGTGTCAAAAATGCAGGATCTGCCCCACAGAGGCAGAGAGTAAGGCAAACCAGACTTCCTTCCTCTCCTGTAACTAGGCCCCAGCCCTGCCTCCCTGTGGTTATTTCCGTTGGCTTTTCCTAGCAGAGGACCATGCTTCCAGATGGGGTGAGGCAGTAGCTTTTCTTTCTTAGGCTCTAAGGGTCCAGAGAGAAAATTAATATCTATTGAGGAGCTACTACAAATAGCAGTCTACAGAATTCAAGTCATGCTATCCTCACAATGACGAGTAAGTATTCCTGTTCCTATTTTGTAAATGAAAAAAACAAATAACTAAGCTTAGAGAACTTGCTGCCTAAGACACATAACCAGTTAATGGTAGAACAGGTTTCAAGGCCAGGTTGGCCTATCTGACCAAGACCACATTGTGACTCCTGACCTCCCATCAGATAGGGGAAGGATCAGGCTGAGACAACGCTGACATCCTCAAACCCAATCCAAGGTCTTTAGCCTGACTGAACTTTGAGTAACACCAAAAATTGATGACAGTCGTCAACATCTTCTCCTCTCTCTCTTTACCCCTTCTTTGTCTTTTTCTTTTTTTGGTACTCGTACTGGGGCTTAAATTTAAGGACTTGTGCTCTTACTTGTCTTTTTCTGCTCATGGCTGGTGCACTATCACTTGAGCCATAACTCCACTTCTACCTTTTCTGCCTAGGTTGGCTTCAGATCTTAATTGTCTGATCTCAGCTTCCTGAGTAGCTAGGATTACAGGCATGAGCTACCAGTACCTGGCGAAGCTTTTCTTCTTTGTAGGTAATGCAAACTTTTAATTAGGAGTCAATGGTATCAAACCTCACCAAGTTCAGGAGGGAGAATGTGAGCATAGCAGCATAGCAACTTCTTGTTCCCATCCCAATTGGCCTACTTCCTTCTTCCCAAATTTGTTCTATAACACTTGCCTCTTCTAAGATGCTTGCTTGCCTGCCTGCCTTCCTTCCTTTCCTTCCTTCCTTCTTTTCTCTCTCTCTTTCTTTCTTTCTTTTTTTGTTGGTCATGGGGCTTGAACTCTGGGCCTGGGCGCTGTCCCTCAGCTCTTCAGCTGAAGGCAAGCACTTTACCACTTGAGACACAGCGCCACTTCTGGTTTTTTGCTGGTTTAATGGAGATAAGAGTCTCACCAACTTTCTGGCCTGGGCTGGCTTTGAACTGTGATCCCTATATCTCAGCCTCCTGAGTAGCTAGGATTACTGGCATGAGCCACCAGTGCCCAGCAAGATACTTTCTTAAAAGATAAAAACAAAACAAGATAAACCCCCAAAACAAAACTCCACACCCTTTTGGACTGAGGTACCCAGCATCTTGGGACTCTGATCTCATTTCATATTCATTCATCCAATAACAATTGTGTAATTACTATGTATCAGGCACAGCTCCAGATAAGGAACTAAACACTCAAAACCCCTTGCCCAGCTGGGTACCAATGGTTTGTGCCTGTAATCCTAGCTACTCAGGGGGGCTGAGATCTGAGGATTGTGATTGGCAGCCAGTCTCCACAGAAAAATCCCTGTGAGATTCTTATCTCCAATTAACCTCCAGAAAACTGGAAGTCGAGCTGTGGCTCAAAAGAGGTAGAGTGTTAGCCTTGAGCAAAAGAGCTCTGAGTTCAAGCCTTCAACCAATCAAAAAAAAAACAACAAAAACACTTGGGCTGGGAAGGTGGCTCTGTGGTAGAGTGTTTGCCTTTCATGCATGAGGCCCTTGGTTCGATTCCTCAGCACCACATAAGCAGAAAAAATTGGAAATGGCACTGTGGCTCAAGTGGTAGAGTATTAGCCTTGAGCTGAAGAGCTAAGGAACAGCACCTAAGCCCAGAGTTCGGGCTCCATGACTGACAAAACAAAAAACAAAAAACACTTGCCCTTAGGGAAGTTGCCTTCTGGTAAGTCCAGCTCTGATACCCACAGCTCTGCTAGGAATACCATCTCTCCTTATCTCTTGGACTGGTCTGAGTTGAAGCTCCCAAAAACATCAATGGCAAAATGGCATCTGCTGGGCCTTCTTCCCCACCAGGCCTGCCCAGTCACAATGCTCCTCAAAATATCTTATTTTTTACTCCTAGGTCTTTGCTTTTCTGTCCCTTAGCCCTGATTTTTTTTTTCCCTTTTCTCTGGCTCACCTGCCCTCCTTTTATGAGTCTCAATTTGGTGACATTTCTTCTGGGCCCGGTATGCCCCAGGAACTTTTTTTTTTTTTTTGGGGTCCGGTCGTGGGGCCTGAACTCTGGGCCTGGGCGCTGTCCCTCAGCTCTTCAGCTCAAGGCTAGCGCTCTATCAC